ACACACACACACACACACACACACACACACACACACACACACACACACACACAAGTGCAGGCACCCACATACACATAAGCTTGCACATATACATGTCACACACCAGGTGCACATGCACATGAAAAGCAGTAAAAAAATGTAAAAAATTTTATACTGACCATAGACCTTTCAGCCTTCTCTTTTGTCTTCAGAAGCTTTGAAATTGTGCTGTCTAAAATTATATGTACTGAAATGCTCTAAAGAACTATTTTGATATTCTTATTCTAAGATTACCTAAGATTCTGTTTATGAAATTGGCAATTTTACCATATATACTAAATAAGTTGAGTATATTAGTTAAAAGCAAGCAGCCTCTTCTGTTGTAAGACTTCAGAATCAGTGTTGTAACTAGCTGTTGTGTGTCCTGCCTTGTTTCCCCTCCATGTTCTGTGTATTTTAAAACTAAAATATGAATAGACTTTATATGAATACCATGTTACTTACAGATTATATAGTTAACATTTTATTGTATAAACTTAATTGTTTATCTATTGGCTTACCTATTTCATTATTTTATTGATAATTTTTAAATATATTTTCAAGTTGTAAACAGTAATGAACGTCTCCCTAATATCTCAATATGTGGAACATTAACTAGATACCAATATTTATTTTCATTTTTCCATTAAGATAAAATTTCTGTACTATGGAACACATAATTAAATGTACTATTTACATTTAATATCACATGACTGGTGACATGCCTGCAGATGCAGACTTGTGTCCCATATGCTGTTTCTTTGAACACTCATCTTCCCATGCTCAAAACATTCTGTTTTTTTTCCTAAATGTGTTAATTTTACTGATAAATTTATTTTAAGACCTGGCTGGTCTGATACTTGGAATCCTCCTGTTTCTACCTCCTGAGTGCTGGGCTCACAAGCACACACCACACTTTCCTTACTTGTTGTACACCTGTAACCTGCTTCAAGTGATGCTGGTTTGATCTCTCCTGTTTTTATTTTTTGTAACTTAAGGAGACCATAGGAAAATGACGAAGGACCAGACTCTAGAGGGCCTTTCTTCCCAGCTCTTTGCAACTCATTCTTCATGATGCTTTTTTCAGTGGATGATCAGTGTGATGTTGTGGCTATGGCTGATACAGCTATATAGGGATAGCTCTAGCTAACACAAACGACTTCTGTATACTGCATGCTAATTCTAAGAGCTGTCAGTGGGTTAACTCCATATGTTTATTAATGAGTCACAGAGCTGTCAGGTAACTTGTGCATGGCCTTAAAGTTGGGCTTTGAAGCCAGGCCTTTAAGCTTCAGGGTATGCATTCTATTAAAGATCCAAAAGAGCAAGATGGCTCAGTGAGTTGGTAAAGGCTCTTGCTACCAAGCTTGGTGACCTGAGTTTAAACCCAGGATTGCCTATATGTTAGAAAGAAATGTTACAAGATGTTCTCTGAACATGCACCCCCCCCATACACAGCACAACAAACAAATAAATAAGCAAATTTAAGAAAATGATTCAATGGAAGCGTCTACTGTCAAAACTGAAATAACCTGTTCCCATATGATGTTGCAGGTAAGTTCTAGTACATATGAATGTTACAGTCAGTTTATCTGTGTATATATAAATCACCAAGTTTGGGATTTATTTTCTGTAAATACAGCTGTGACAGCTAGTTCATGACATTTGTAGCTAGAACAGTGGTGTTCAGACATTATTGCTTTTCTGTCTTGACAGATTATAAGAGAAAATAGTATCTCTCTGAGTGAAATTGAATTGCCTTGTTCAGAAGACTTGAATTTGGAAACCTTGTCGTAAGTAATGTAATATATTAGTTAACTATGTTAGCACCTGTCAGATCAGTTTACTTACATAGGAGAACCAGTTCTTGATTTGAGTAATTCTGAATCTCTTATGTGAGATACATGAGATCCTGTCTCCAAAAAAAGAAAAAGAAAATTTAGTTGTACGTTGTCTTTTTTCTTTCCTTGGTAGGGAACACTTTAAAGGTGTCCTTCCTTGTAGTATATGAAGAATGTCATGTAAGAGGCAGGCTACATCAGTGAGGGTTACATGGTCTTCTGCAGAAACCCACAGAGATCTGCTGATTGGATAGAGACCTTCTTCACCATGAATATTTATTACTTTTATTCCAAGACAGTGGATGATAATAGATTTTTAAAGGACAGTAACAACATTATGTTTCTTGTTATTTGTTTTCAGGCAAGCACATGTCTACATAATCGCGGGAGCCTGCTTGTCTCTGGGTTTTCGATTTGCTGGCTCAGAGAACTTATCAGCATTTAACTGTCTGGTGAGGACTGTCTTGGCTCATGCTGCTGTGCTGTGAGTTGTCCTTCTGTCTTACAACCCACGCCTTAAGATGCCACTTTTAACTTTCAATTTTTCTTCTCCTTTTCCAGCATAAATTTGCAAAAGATTTTATGAATTATTTATCTGCACCCAATGCTTCTGTAGTAAGTCTTTTTTTTTTTTCTTTCCCCTGTTTGGGAATAAAGTAAACAAAGAACATTTATAGATAAACCAGAAACTTGGAGGTTATTAACTACCTTTGCTACTTGAATTTAAAGCAAGATTTGAAGCACTGCTTTACGTTTTGGTTTTAAGGTAGGAAATTAGGTGAGAATATCGTTACCCTTGAGATGATGATTAGTCTGTGTGTATTTCCAATTCTTGTGCCAAGAGAATAAATGAGAGGTATAGTATATTTGTGGATTGTCATACTTCATATTCTGTCATGCTACTGAATGCCAAAGTGTCCTTTAATAAAAACAAACACCTAGTGAGTATACAGTCATTCTCTAGACTTTACTTTTCTGATAACAAGGAGACTGCAAGATTTTATATCCTGGTTAACAACACAGACCTATGCAATAGTTTTCATAATGTGAAAAAAATTAGAAATACCAAAAATGTCCAAGTATTTAAGTTATCCATATGCTCTTACATATTGGATGTAACAGGATCATGCTGTACAAGGTTTTACGTGTTTGAAAATTACTTATAAGTTATTAAAAGGGTTAGCATGTATAGTAGTATCTGATTTTCATCTGTGACTATCATGTACAGGAAGACTTTCTGAGAGTGATGATTATAGGAATAATATCAGTTTTCAGTGGGTTTCTTTTTTAGATGTAGTTTTAAAATTATGAACATTTGTAATTTTCCAATGTCAGATATTTTTGGTAATGGAGAAACTGTAATGTAATGTTTTTGTGTCACCAGACAGGGCCCTACAACCTGGAAACCTGCCTGAGTGTTGTCCTGCTGTCTCTTGCCATGGTAATGGCTGGCTCTGGGAACCTGAAGGTGTTGCAGCTCTGTCGCTTCCTGCACATGAAGACGGGTGGAGAGATGAACTATGGCTTCCACTTGGCCCACCACATGGCCCTGGGCCTTCTCTTTTTGGGAGGAGGAAGGTAATGAATGTTTTGTTTGTTCTTTAATAAAAGAGTTCATGAGGGAGATCTGTATAAGTGATCGATTTTTTCACTTTTAAAACGACATTTTTCTGTTGTTGCCTTTTTTCATGCAAATGTTGAAATGTGTCATTTTCCATAGTAACTAACTGGATAGAACATTAATTAGAGCTGCATTGACCGCACCAGTGGCAGAGGGTTGAAGTCCCTTGCCGTGTTGTCATCAACTATGGTTGCACTTACTTATGTGTTGTCTTTTGAGGTAGAGATTATGAGTAAGATGTGTATTTTCTTAATATAGTTTGTGACAGTTGCTTCTTTTTATTAATTTAGAATTACGAATGCTTAAAGGCTGGGGCTGTAGCTCAGTCATAAAGCATTTGCCTGTCATAGACAGGACCCAACCTGTGAATTCTTAGCACAGCAATACAAATTTAAAAAGCCAATAAGGATAAGTAAAGGAATGTTAGCTCTAAGAAAATTTGTATAACTTTTGAAATTATTTTCTTTTCAAATAAGTACCTGCATTTAGTGAACGCTCACAGTCACATCTCTGTCATCCCACATGGTATGACTCCTTGCTTCTCTTTAAGATTGAATCACTTTTCTTTAGCTGAGCTTCTGCCTTATTTTTTTAATATTTTATTTTTAATTATGGTTGTGTGTGTGTATGTCTGTTTGTCTTTTGAGGGTTTATGCACATGAGGACTGGTGCCTGTTTAGATCCCCTGGGGCTTGGGTTACAGCCAATTGTGAGCCACCCAACAGATTCGCTGAGAGCCAAACCTGGGTCCTTTGGAAGAGCAACTCAAACTCTTAAGCAATGAGCCATCTCTCCAGTCCCTGGCACTGCATTTTAGTGGTTGTTTTATTTTTAAATTGTCATATAATTTTCTATAATATTGATATTTATAACATCCTGCACTGTTGGGTTTAATCCCCAAGTTTCTAATGTTAATATTTGAATATTCAATCTTTGAATTTTGATTTATCAAAGTGATAAAATACTTCATCATCACTCTGTGCTATTTCAGGGTAAGCCTTGTTTATTAATTCCTGGGTTGTTTTAGCATTTATAGAATGATTTTTGCTTTGAATAGTAATCAATCTGGAAGTGATGGAAGGACTAACTGTAAAGAGATGTATATCCCACCAGGGATACGCTTTGTTTATCATGGCATCTTACCAGTGTACCTTCTTATAGAACCCCACTCTTCTGAACCAAGCAGGCCTTGAAGATAGGGCAGGGAAACTAATAGTGTCTCTCACTGAATTCGCTCTGCAGGTACTCTTTGAGCACATCCAACTCGTCCATCGCTGCCCTCCTCTGTGCCCTTTACCCACATTTCCCAGCCCACAGCACTGACAACCGGTGAGTCTCTTTCATTGCTTAGCCTGTTTCCTGAGGTCGGTTTTACTTTCATGGGCTATTGCTTTGTTTTTGAACTTAGGTCCCTAGCTAAATCTTTTAAATTGATATTTAGGTCACCATTAGTAAATTCTTTCCTGTTAAGACAATTATTACTTTCTTGTAAAAATTTTTACCATGAACTCAGATAAAGAATTCTTGGATCAAAGATTACATAAGTAGTTTCTTAGGATTTCTTAGTACCCTTTAGGGTCTGCGAGATGGTTCATAGATAGAGGTGCTTGCCTTCCAGCCTGATGGCCTGAGTTTAATCCCCAGTACCCACATGGTGGAAAGAGAGAACTCCTCCAAAGTTGTTCTGTGACCTCTGTATACATGTATCACATGCATACACACACACTAAACAGTATAATAAAAAATTTAAACTAGAATTTCTCTGTACTGTTAATTGAATTTATCATCTTCATTTCAGATTCTTCATAGGAAAATATTTACTACCCCAGCTTTGTAGCCTGTCAGCAGTGGTGATTGTCAGGCTTCTTCATGTCACTGGTCTCTTGACTTCTCTGGTTTTTGTGCACAGGTATCATCTCCAGGCCCTTCGGCACCTCTATGTGCTAGCTGCAGAACCAAGGCTCCTGGTACCCGTGGATGTGGATACAAACACACCCTGCTATGCCCTTATAGAAGTTACTTACAAGGTAACTAACTCTTCCTGTCACCTTTGCAGGTGGGATTATTTTAAGAGCATTTTAGCAAAAGGTGATGAATAGTTGGATAGTCATAAAACCCAAAGTCTCCTAAGTTGCTGCCTATTGCCAGGATGGCTCGCTCTCGTATTTGTGTATAACTTTTGGCATTATCAGCTGTTCCTTTGTCCTTAGAGCTGATCATTGGAAAATGTTCCTAGTAACTTTATGTGGCTAATTATAGTGTTCTGCAAAGTGAGTTTGGTTTATAATGAGTCTTAAAGTTTGGTTTTGTTGAACATTCAAAATCTCCAAATTTTATATTGAGTATCCTGAATTTGTTTATCTTTCATTGGGATTCATACATAGATTACAAATCATGTAGTCTGTACCACATTATTAAATACTTCAGTTCATTAAAATATGCTACACTTTGAAATGTGAAAGTGTGATGATGATGTCATTCCTGAAGGAAACGAGTGGCTAGGCGTGAGTGCAGTGCTGCCTGTGTGAGACTTAGAGCCCGTATGGAGTGCTCTTATCTAACTGAAGAGTTTGGGGCAACTGTCATAGAGCAAACTAGGCTCAAAAGTGGGGCTCGTGTATAAACCCATGCTGTAGAAGCACAGCCCTTCGCCATTGCTGCCCAGTTAAGAGCAAACCACCAAGGTGTTGAGGGTGACGAATGCTCCTTCGTAGAATGTAGGCTTGAGTATTAGGGATTTTGCTGCAGCTCAGCTCTAGAATACTTGCCTGGCATACACCAGGCCCTGGACTCAGTCTAGCACTGCCAAGCAAAGACTATTAGAGGAGTTATACTGTTTCATAGTTACATCCAGACCGTGAGCAAGGGGAGACACAGGTGACCATTTGGCCCATGCTGGCTGTGTTTTACTTTTGTAAAGGGCACTCAGTGGTATGAACAGACCAAAGAAGAACTGATGGCTCCAACCCTTCTTCCAGAACTTCATCTTCTAAAGCAAGTAAGTTGGTATGGCTTTGGAGGTTTACCCAGGGGGCAGATTGAAACAGAGTTGCATATCTGTAAAGGTCCTCCTATTTAAGAAAAAGGACCAACAGGAGGAATATTCATGAAGGCCAGAGGAAGTCTTATCTTAGAGGTTTTTATTGATAGTCTGTGTCCTTTTGGAACGTGGTTCATAAGCCTTTTGGATGGTTCACAGGCAATTGGATCTCTTTAACTTACAGGTGACTCTCTACAGCGAGTCACCACTATTCCCTCTAAGATGCTTGCTCAGTTTGCCAGCTGTGAGTGATTATGCTTGCAATTGTCCCTGCAGATGAAAGTTAAAGGGCCAAGATACTGGGAACTGCTCATAGATTTAAGCAAGGGAGAACAGCACTTGAGGTGAGTATGCTGAGTTCTCACTTTAGCCTTTCCATCAGTGCATAGCAGTCTACAGGGAGGTGGGTTCTAGAGTGGTGTCTGGGTAGCGTTACTTTGGTTTCATGCATGACAGCATATACTGTATGTTGAACAATGTGGTCTATATCTTTGAAGTGGGATTTGTCTTCGAATGTAAAAGTTTTAATTTGAAAGTCAAATGGTAAATGTTTACAAACTTTCATTGAGAAACTAGAACTGACTCAGCATTAGATAGTAATGGGTACAGTAAGATTTAGTGTAAAGGGGACTTTATAACATCCAGTGCCTGTCAGACATCTCCTGTTGCTTCTTTGTACTGTTGTCTTGTTACAACTAACATAAGGCTATGGGAGGTTCCTTTCTGGTAGATCCAAATAATTACTTAACATGTTATTAATTTTATACATAGTAAAGGATGTAAATTGTTTAAATTCACAGAAAGTTTTGACAAGCATGTAAAAGGTTCATAGTCTGGTTCCAGTTATATCTTCTTATTGTACAGTAGCTAATTTCTATTTACTCTGTCTTAGATTAATTAGTATTTTCTCTTACTGCAAAACAGTTACTAGATCTTAGTACTTTCAGTGTCTTAGGCATATTGCTAGGGACACAGGAATCAGCAGTGTTAGGTAAGATCCTGAGAGGCTCAATCTTGAACAGGTGGAATCCCTTCTCACTGAAAAAGTTTATGAATCTCCACATCACAGAAAAGTGGGGATGCATCTGACCCTCACTTGTGTGCAGACAGTCATTTTGTGCAGAGTTAATAATCCTCCCAGAGAATAGGGACAGCTTTCTCTGCTAGAAAAGTGGCACTGGAAAACACCAACTTCAACAGAGAACTACTAATACCTCCCATAAGATCATCTTTTTTCCCTTCCAGGTCCATTCTTGCCAAGGATGGAGTTTTATATGTAAAGCTCAGGGCAGGCCAGCTCTCCTACAAAGAGGACCCAATGGGGTGGCAGAGTTTGTTGGCACAGACTGTTGCTAACAGGAACTCCGAAGCCCGGGCTTTCAAGGTAGTGTTGCATTTCACTAGCATCTGATTGCTGCAGATTGTAAAGCTAAACAGACCATGGTATCTCTTGCTTTCTTATGTGACACCCATAATAAAATAGGGATGGCCTGCTAGTATTCTGTGTAAGACTTGTGTTTAGTGCCACCTATAAAAAACCTCCACACTATAAGCAAGATTTGGTTTATTTTACTTACTAGTCCCTCGAAGAGAAAGAATTTGTAAGTTAGCACTAGCGTTTCAGTATGTTGACCAGGTTGGCATCACCTCTACTGGCTCCCCTTAGCTCTCTGTCTCTGTTTTGCTGTGTGGGAGATTGACCCCAGGACTTCATGCATGCCAGCATTAAATGTCCTATTACTCAGCTATATCCCAGGCCTGGCCTCATTGTGTGGTTTCCTTGCCTCAGTCTCCTGAATGCTGGGATTATAAGCAAACACCACCATGCTTGGCTGTACACCATTGGGATGGTGGGGGGAACCCATTTTAAAACCGCATTTGTTTCTTTAATCTTGATGAAAAGGAAATGATGACAATTCAAGTCTTGCTTTTTAGTTTATTATTTCCTAGTACTCAGCTACAGTAGTATTTAAAATGAAAAAAAAAATAGTTAAAGCGTGAGTTAAAGGTCATTTCTGTGAAAGGTTCAATGCATATTCTGTGTTCTAGAATTCATTTCCGTCATTAAGAATGTGTTGTGGCCGGGCAGTGGTGGCACACGCCTTTAATCCAAGCACTTGGGAGGCAGAGGCAGGCAGATTTCTGAGTTTGAGGCCAGGCTGGTCTACAAAATGAGTTCTAGGACAGCCAGGGCTATACAGAGAAACCCTGTCTCAAAAAAACAAACAAAAAAAAGAATGTGTTCTGTAACACATCTAGCTTTAAACTTGGGAATTTAATTTCAGTTTTAAGAGTTCAGGGGCAGATGTTTGTTGAGGAGCCTCTGAGTACCTGGGTCTCAGGCCATAATAAGCAAAGATGTGTTAGCTCAGCAGCCAAGGGGCAGCCACAGATTTTCGCTTTCTTTATTCCTGAGTAAGGAGGTGCAAACAGCTCGTTGTTGTTCAACCTACATCTCATCTGAATCTGTCAGTTGACATTGATCCTTCTCACAGTTATCAGGATGTAAATATATAAAAGTTCCAGCCTTGATTTCAAGTCTGGATTGTTGCTGAAATATTTTGAAGATTTTTTTTTTTTTTTGGCTTAAGTTGGCACTATTTCTTTTTCTAAAAATTAGATCCTGTATGAAAAGCTAATCCAATTTATAGGTAAGTTTGAGCTTATATTTGAGTATTAAACGTATATAAAAATTACAGGGCAGCTCAGTGTCTTGCCTTCTGGGAGTTCAGAACTAAAATAGGAATCAAACTGAAGTTCTCCAGTTTTAGTTTCAAAAAGTAAGAGCTATGCCAAGGGCTTTCTCTACTATTTTTTTTTAATTGTAGTAAAATACACACACACACACACACACACACAAATAAAATAAAATAAAATTAGCACCTTAGCTGTTTTTAGATGTGATATGTTTTTATGTAGCCATCACTAGAACAATTACAACTTGAAAACTTAAGCTGTCTCTATTAACACTAATTTCCTCAACTAGCTGCAGGCAGCTGCCCCTTGTCTTTCTGTCTCTGTGATTCCAGTTCCTCTAAGGACCTCAGACATGAAGGATTATAGTAATCGTCCTGTTTTGGAAGCTCACTTGAGTGAGACTCCTTTTTCTTTACTCTTCTATAGTATTTGGGTTGTTCGTTTGTTTGTTTGTTTGTTTCTTGAGACAGGGTTTCTCTGTGTAGCCCTGGCTGTCCTGGAACTTACTCTGTAAACCAGGCTGGCCTCGAACTCAGAGAGCCACCTACCTCTAGTGCTGGAATTAAAGGCATGCACCAGCAGTGCCTGGCTAAGTATTTGTACTTTTAAGCAGGGTTTTTAGTTAGACAGTGAGGGAGGGAGGCGAGCCTTTTGTGGGTAGTTTATAAGAAAGAAGACATGTTTATTATTGACCTTTTGATAAGTGAACACCTCATATTACCTTTGCAAAAGCGTGTAACTTCCTAACAAAACAGGATGACAAAGCTGTAGCTTGTTTTGTCTTGTGGAACCATTCATTGTGTGAAAGGAGGGGTAGAGTTCTTGTAACTACAGGCCTCGCAGTGTGAGCAGAAAGAGAAGTAATAGTTGGTTATCTCATTTAAAGCGGGCTTTGTTTTTCTTTTTAGCCAGAAACAATTTCATCATTCACTTCTGATCCAGCACTTCTGTCATTTGCTGAATATTTCTGCAAGCCGACTGTGAGCATGGGTTCAGTAAGTATTATATTGTTTGCTGGGCACCAGGATAAGTTTGTTAGTTCTATCAATAGACAACCACAGCCACCTGTCATATTCATGTCTGCCTTTGAGATTGATAACATCCTTTACATGTGTTAGAGGTATTGCCAATAAAAACCTGTGCCTTCTGTTGCCACTACCACATCTTTCCTCTCTCCCTGGCCCCCTTGTGGATTTGACTCTGAGAACTCTATTTACCTGGGTGGTGTTTACTCCTACATCTCTGCTGGTGCCTTTCTGGATCTCACTCTCAGCTGACTGAAGGCTCCAGTCGTCTCTGGTGTTCTTGCAGGGTTTTTTTTTTTTTTTTTAACCCTAGATTGATCATTAATCTACCAGATCACATGCTGCTATCTCATCATTCTTTTTGGGTTTTCATTGCTGTTGTAACACTGCGTGGACTATGACTTTCTAAAGAGACGAACTGTTTACACTGTTTACCATAGAGCTTCAGAATGAGCTATTAGTAGCTGTTACGTGGTTGTTTCTTGACTTGATTTTGTGATATGCTTTGATGTGCTACAAAATAATTGTGCTTTTCCATAGAAACAGGAGATTCTGGACCTCTTTTCTTCCATACTTTATGAGTGTGTTGCTCAGGAAACCCCAGAGATGTTGCCTGCCTACATAGCAATGGATCAGGTATGACTCCAAAATTATTTGCATTCTGATGCAATTGACGGTGTACTTCAAATGACTTACTACACAGTGTGGGAAGTTCCCTATGTATTCAGTTTTCAGTTTCTTGTTTTGCTTTTAGAGATCTTATCAAGAAACCATTTCCAGTTGACAGCTCTATGCTGATGCCCAAAGGCTGGACTTGGTGCTAGCAGGAGTGCTCTCTGGAAGGCTGCCTTTCTGTCTTCTTCCCTTGGTTTGGGGAGGGAAAGATCATTTCCTTTCTTGCTTTAGTCTTCCTGTGTTATTTCTTGCCTCCTTTCTTCATGGGAAGACCACAGATGAGTAGCAGGTAAGCCCTATGTGCTCTGGTGTGTGAACATCCACTTCCTTGGCCAAGTCTGCAGGCAGTTTAGAACCAGGAGCTAGTGATTGAGGGAGATGGTGTTCACTTTGATTCTCTTGATATTTTGTAGGTGCCTAACAGGGACATAATGCCTGAGAGCGTTCCTAAAGAATTGACCTTCTCATCATGGTGGTTACTAATACAGCGTTCTCACAGTCTCCTACTTCTTCAGACCCGTGCTTACAGTTAAGCTTAGCCAGTAGTTTTCTAACCTAGCTGGGGAATCTTAAAATGCAGATCTTTAAATCCTGTTCTATATCTTCTAAGTTGGAGTCTGGTGGGCAAGATCCAGAACCCATAGTTTTAAAAGTTCTGCAGTAAATTTGAAGAGTTTATAGATTGGCATTTGGGACTCTGTCTCTAACTAATCTTTGATGATATAAATAATTTTGTGGATAGCTGAGTGGTAAAAACATTTATGCAAGAAATAATTCCCCAGGCAGGAAAATCACAGTATGTAGTGTTCTATATTCCAGCAGAAGCACAGGGCCAGAGTGCTGTTACTGTGTGGACCCGTCTCTTCTCAGTTGCAGAGAGTGATCATGGTGCTGTGCTAGTGCTCTGCTTGCTGACTCTCTTGGCATAGCAGCTAAGTTAGGTTTCTTGGTTGCTGGTTAAATGTTCTCTTCTCTTTAAAAACTTTGGATACCCTCACCCCTCCACCATCTAGAACATTCATTGTCGTAGATGAGTGTCTCCCCTGGTGGTAGCCTGTATTGGTGATTCTTAACATCAGTGTGATCAGTGATCTGCCTCACTGGGATTCCTGTCTGTCTCTGCTGTGTCATTGTACCACAACTTCTTCCCCAGAGATTTATACCCCAGTGTGTAGGGGGGTCTTCATTATTCAGGGTTGCTGAGCCAAGAATGAACTTGACAGTTGTTGCTTTTACTTGGAAATTGCTCTCATGTTGAAGAGAGTGAGTGAGCTACACTGGGGAGGGACCCCATGAATCTCCATAGCCTCTTGCTGATCTTGCCGGCCATATTGGAACATACCCTGAAGATAACATGATTAGAACATCTTACCATTTCATTAAACAGACTGTTCTTTCTGTTTCTTCACACAGGCTCTAAGAAGTCTTAAAAAGAGAGACATGTCAGACACATCTGATCTTTGGCAGATAAAGTTGATATTAGAGTTTTTCAGTTCACGAAGCCACCAGGAAAGGCAGCAGACCTATCCTAAGCGAGGGCTCTTTATAAACTCTGAGTTCCTACCTGTGGTGAAGTGCACTGTTGATGCCACCCTCGACCAGTGGCTCCAAGGTATGGTGGTACTGCGTCCTTGTGCTTGAAGGGTAACTCAACTGAGGCTTCTTAACAGTTTCCATTGGCAAACAAGGTAAACCTGGGCATAATCTATTGCTTGATTTTTGAGGAGTCAAAGTCTGGTTATGTACTTCAGTGTCTTTAAAAGAAAAATATACATTTACCTGCTCTAGGAAAGGACATATTGACTGAGTGCTATCCTTGAGCATCCTGTGGCCCTGGCTTTCTGCCAGGGGAAGTGCTAACTTGAGAAAGAAGGAAGCTATCAAGTTACTCATGCTGACTCACACAAGGGATGCATTTGTGGGAATACATTCTATGTCACTTGTACCTGAGGTTGACTTTCTGCAGTCAGTACCTGCATCTTTATATTCCTTTCAGTTTATTCAAGTCCTTGCACCACGAATCTGATGGTGATCTGCTTTCAGTACATACAAACCCTAGTCATGGTTGTAACAGTTCTCGCTTTGGTATTTAAGCTGTCCTGCTGTGACACTGGAAAATAAGTTTCTGACAAACAATCAGACTGTAAAGAGGCTTGTGAAGAGCAAATGAAGGGAGACAGTTATGTGTAACTTTGAAATGTTTTTGATAGACATTTAAATCCCCCCACCTTTGTGAAAATGTCATATAACAAATGTCAGTGTTTTCTTTCCATTGGGTTTGATATTTCAATACCTGTAGAAGGCCTTTGCTATTAAGAAGTATCCCATTGAGTCTTAGCAAATTCTCTGATGGCAAGCATCTTAGAATGTAAAAACTATTTGGCAGTGACAGGTAGTCTTAGAATAGTGACCTAGTTGGTTTGTGATTCTTCAGGACACTTGGTGAGTTCAGTTTTCTAGATATCTTTATCTCTTTTATTCTCTCAAATTTTCTTTTTTGGTTCAAATGTCTTATGTCTGTGACAGAAGACTGAACGGAAAGAATGAGGCCAGTGGTGGTACGGTCGGATTACTAGAGGTACACAGTTAAGACAGGGTTAAGAGACTCGACTCATTAATTGCTGGACCTTCAGCTTTTACCCCTGAAGTTCCATTTGCTGTCCTCACTTGTCCCCTTGTGGTACTAAAACAATCGACAGTCTTTTCCTCCAGATTTTCATGAGGCACAGAGAAAGAAAGGAGATGTTCTTAAGAACCATGGCATGAAGATAGGACCCTATCCCAGAAGCAAATGTGTTGAGCATCTTGATTGTGACCCAAGCTGCATCTCACACTGTCCCTCAGTCACTTGTCCAAAGCTGACCACTGTGTCCAAGGATAGGACTGCCTTGGTTGTTCTATGCTAGTATTCTCAAAGCATGGTTCCTGAGCAGCAGCAGTGCTTCCTTGCACTATGTTACATGTACATTTTCCTGCCTGTACTCCAGACCTTCCACACCAGAAATGTTAGCTGTGTTAAACTTTCAGAAGCACTCTGATAGGAATTGGTCATCTCCTGCTAAGAATAAATAGATTCTAGTCCTGGGTTGAAATCAGTCTCCTTGAGTATTACACGGGAAGAAAAGATTTGACGGTGGGTATTTGTTATCCTGTAATTACCTGCATTTGAGTGTATCTCCTTGCTTCTTCAGCACAGTAAACTGGGCAGCATCAGGCTCCACTAGCGTCTGTACCTGTGCAGCACTGCCTGGTTTGTGCCAAGGTCTATTTATACACTTGATGAAAAATAGCAAAAGTAATCATTCCTATCTCTCTAATCTCTGTTCCTGATGTATTCAATTCCTTTTGTGTCCTCTCACAGCTGGAGGTGATGTGTGTGTGCATGCCTACCTTAGTGGGCAGCCTGTTGAGAAGTCTCAGTTAAGCATGCTGGCCTGCTTCCTTGTCTACCACTCTGTGCCAGCACCACGACACTTGCCACCCCTGGGACTGGAAGGTAACCCCGTCTCAGCCTCTTTTCAGCATTTGTTCCTCACTAGTGTCTAGTTAGGGAGAAATGCTTGTCGGCCACCTTCTCTAATGCAGTACTCAGCTTTGTTCATGATTGTGTTTGTTGAGAATGCTTTCTGAAAGTAGAACAAACCATATACTTTTACCTCTGAAAAAAGATGTTTTTAGAGTAGGACTATAAATTAAATGTGTATGTTATTCCATATATGAATGACATCTCTCTATGTACTTGAGTTTTTTGGACTGAACTCAAAGTCTTGGGCATGGTGGTCAAACAGTCTACCACTGAGCTATATATACAGCACTTACTTGATTTTTCTTATAACTTTGTTTCCCAGTTTTTAAAAGGTTTATGTAATCACAGTCTCTGTTACCTTAAAGCTTCAAAGCTATTGATTGAATGCTATGTCCAATATGGAATCAGGCACTAAGTTTGTCTGTAAAACAACCTGATTTATTTATGTCACGTTTAAATGGCTACCCTTTAATTAAGAGTGAAAAAATATTTTTGAGAAGAAGAGTGTTCTGTTGATGTGTAGTCACTTTTAGCTTAATGACATTTTTGTTTATGTGATTTAGGAAACCTCAGAGAAAAATGTAGTATAAACAGACCTAGTTATGGCTATGAGGAATTGCTTATATTTTGTGGACTTTTCCATGGAAACAGATACAAAAGTTAGTCAAATGCACAAGATAGCAAGCAGTTAAAGGTTTGGAATTGTTTGGGAGTTTCTCGACTGTGGTAGGGAAAAGGAACCCATCGATTGCCAGGAAGACTTGTTGAGTTGTGGGGGAGACGTGAGGGTATAGAGAGACCAAGGGAGCCAGAGTTTGCAAGATGTTTATCAGAGAGGAACGAGTTATACAGAAAGTACCAGAGAGAGCTTCTGGTTTTAGAAGTTACTGGTCAAAAAATTGCATATAAAGGAATTCCTTGGAGGGAAGAGCTTGCAAGTGGACTAGAAGATCACATGCCAGTTGTTTACTAGTGCCTGTCCCACCGCTTCTTAGTAGAATTTAGGAGCCTCAGTCATAGGAAGTAAATTACCTCTGGACTATACAGTGTTATGGCTACACCTTACAAATCTCAAAGAACATAAATGTTCTTGATCATAAGTGTGATCTATGATCATAACTGCATGTATGCTTTCTTGAAATTTGACTGTACCGAGATCAAAGCCCTCTAGCTGAAGAACACGAAGTACCCAGCAATAAAATGGAGTGGGTGAAATCCAGCGTGCGGCATACAATAAAAACAGCTCCCCCTGCCCCCACGGGCATAGTAGCCCACACCTATAATTTAAGCACTTGGAAATCAGAAGTTCCCTGGAGGGGAAAGAGTTCAAGGCCATCCTTGGCTCTAGAGTAATGTAGGAGCTGGTCTTAGCCCACACAGGACCCTGTCTCAGGAAAAGATAACAGCAGTAACAGCAACTACTGTTTACAGGCACACAAGCGGCCGTGCTAATGCAGCCCCGGGCCCAGGCTGGCAGATAGTTACATCTGTGCTGCCTCAAGTTGCTTCTGCCTTCCTTGTTGTTGTTCATACTTTGCCACAAGCCAAATAGCTGTCTCTCCCTGGCGTCTGGCTGGACAAAATTCTTGTCTACCTTTTTTCTCTCTATTTTCTTTCTTTGCTCCCCACCCTGTTCTTATTCAAATAAGAAAATAAACACTGAAGAATGATAAAAAGTAAAACAAAAACAACAGCCAACATGCAGAGAAACAGGAAGGGGTAGAACCTGAGCTGCTAGGATATGGGGTTGGGAAGGAAAGGATGAAGACACTTAAAAGACTCTTTGGTGATGCCCATGCTTCCCTCAGAGGCTGTGGCTCTAGATCTTGGTAGACAAACAGAATCATTTGGGTAGTGTTCAAAACCCTGAATGTCCAGGCCTCACTCCCAGTGAGTTATGTGTAATCTGTAGAACCAAGAGCAAGAGGCAGTAGATCAACTCTCAGTCTTCAGTCTGTGGAGGTTGTTTGTTTGTAAAAGGTCAAAAATCAAGTATTAAAATTAGTTTTCAAAATCACTTATAGTAATTGAGGTTAAATGAATTTAATGTACACAAATAAGTTTTCACAGTGATTAATTTCTAAAGTACAGAATAGATAAATTTAAATTCTTAAATTGTTGTAAGAAATTAAAAATTCATGGATTGCCACTGGGGTGCTTTTGTCTAGAAGGAAGACTCCTGTGTGCTGAGCTTGAGAGGGCTGTGTGGCTGAGGCTGTGCAGTGATGTAACCTTCTGCATCTCTGTCTCTTCAGGGAGCACAAGCTTTGCTGAACTCCTCTACAGGTTCAGACACCTGAAGATGCCAGTCCGAGCTTTGCTAAGACTGGCTCCCGTGCTGCTTGGGAATCCACAGCCGATGGTTATGTGACCAGTGCTGGCATAAACCCACCCCTCAAAACGACTGCAGCACAGAATCCTGATGGCAGCAAAGTTAAGGCAGCATTTCTATTTTGTGACCAGTGGAACTCAGATGCATACACCTCACTGTGTTTAAAATCCATGTTGAAAATATTACAGATAACACTGGTGCTGTCCACCTGTCATGATGTATAAAACGTCAGTTAAAACTCACTTTTGTAAATAAAGATTTTTGGTTTGTTTTCAAAACTATTGATGATTGTTTTGGACTTCAGAGAATATGTCGACAGGCTGAGTCTTGAAGCCTTTAAACTTTAGTGGTTAGGTTCTGTACTCAGAAGTGCACGGCTTAAAAAGCCACATCGTGAGAGTGGACTTCGTGCTACCACGGGAGTTTTTGTGTTGTCTGTTACATAACAGTTACCTTCTCTACAATGAGTCTGTGCTTCCAGTACTGGATGATGTCATTACTGTGAGCAGATTTCTACTTGAGTGAAGAATTGCTCAGCATGGAGTACTGGACTATGCCCAAGCCCTGACCTTGATGCAGCTGTGTAGGCTGCAGCTCTTTGGAGGTAACCAAGGCTAAAGGATACTCTAAGGGTGAGTCCCTATTTGGTAGAATCCATGGCCTGTTCAGAAGAGGAAAGGAGATGTTTTTCTCTCTGTACCATGTGAGAGCCATGTACAGCTGCTCACAAGCCAAGAAGATTCCCTTGTGAGGAACTAGTCAGACAGTCTTGGACTTCAGCACCTAGAAGTGTAAGAAATAAATTCTGATGCTTAAGCCATCTTAGCTATGGTACTTGATTTTTGTAGCCTGTGCAGGCTAGTATATGACACCTGCTCAAAATACCTAAAATACAAAATTACTCCTACAGAGAGTGTTAAGAAAATATTTTTAAATAGTTCAGTCTATCTGAACAAAAGGTCTGAAAAGTGCTTTTGTATTCTGAGTTTCAGGACAGCTCATGATGCCCCATGTGACAGGAAGAACGTTCCTTCCCCTCCATTCCAACCTGTGCTTACAGCTTTCTCTCAGACCAGTGGGACTGTGAACAAGTAGGAACTGCAGAATGCCTACTCACTTATTTCCCGCTTGTTTCTGAAAAAGCCAATAGAAATTGCCCCACTGGGATTTGGTAATGTCGCCTGCCTGCCTGCCTGCCTGCCTACAACAAGGTAATTTGCTGCTGACTTTGAGGGCAAAATGTGCTTTCCTTTACTCTTAGATTAAGGATTGCAGTTAAATGGCAGGTGGTGATGAACATTCAATTTGCATCAATATTGAACCCACTGTTGAAGTTATTTTTCACTCTCCATTGTTAATGGCTGCCATGGGAGGACTTGAAAGAGAGGACTGAATCCAGTGGAAACAGCTTTGATGGGCCTATGGCCAGCTGGACAGGCATCAGGAAGAGATTCTAGTGCTCTTGAGTGAGCATGGTAGGATCATCAGATAAACTACTATATTTACTAGTCTCCAAGCCATCCTGTGGGAACCAGTCTTGTCATACACAGCAGCCAGCCTCCTGGGAACCACGTCAAGGGAAGAGCAGAGAAACACCCGAAGTGTTCTAGTATCAAAAGTGGCACTTGTGACTTCAAGGGAAGGCTGATTACCCAGGACATTGCTTCACCTCCAATACATGTGGAATGGAGACACAAGGGGCAGCTGCTTTGAGTGTAGGTATTGTCCAGCAGACAGACAATTGAGTGGTGTGCTCAGATCCTTCCCCCAAAGGGTACTGACGTCTGTGCTCCTCCCTCAAGGTCTGACGTGGGAGCGAAGGCAGACTGAGCACAGATGCCAAACTTGAGCTACATTGCTCCATCATAGTTCTCACCATTCTAGGCTCTACCCAGTCTGCTGCACCCAGCCATTCTCTGGTCAGCTGCTGCCTACATGGATTCTGAGTCCAAGAGAATCAGAAACAACTCCTCAATGAACTGAAAGGACTTAGCTTATGAACATGTTGCAAAGCAGTCAAGCATCTTTGCAAACACATGGGCTTTTGTGTGTTTTCTTGATGTTTCTCCCATTGACTTAGTCTGTCACTATTGTTAACTTAGTCTATCACTATTGTTAACTTAGTCTATCACTATTGTTAACTTAGTCTATCACTATTGATGACTTAGTCTATCACTATTGATGACATTATATAGAGCATCTTGTTTAAGCTTTTGTCTTTTAGCTAAAAACACTTCTTTGGTAAACTTTTAATACTGCACTCTTTTTCCTTTAGAATATTTTGGAGTGTACTTTTAAGACTAACCCTCCCCAAACATTCATATCAGAATTTTAAAACAGGAAATTCATAATAAATTTAGTAAGATTTATAAGCACCTCCCAGATCTTAATTCCTGTTCTTTTATACTCCAATGCTTAGCTGAGCTGTTAGCTTTTCTCTGTAGCAAATGGATGTCTCAAGTCTCTGCATTGTGAGGCTGCAGACCATGTGTTTTAAGAACTCAAGACATGTTGGGTCATGATGTCATGGTCACCCCATAGGTGGAGGGTGGATACCTAAAACAAAGACAGAAGCCCGAAGCTGGAGTTACATGGTAATTTCCTTCTGGTTGAAGCATCCTTCCAGGAAGACGGGGAAGGGGGGCTCAAGACACTAAATAACCATCACGTGACTTGGAATGCTGAAGCTTAAGAGCCACAGAGTGCTTCCCCAAGGTTGTAGTAATGGAACCGTATGGGAACAGGACAGAAAGGGACAGAGGAGGCTTGGCTGCATGGGAGAGGAGATTCCCTGACTAGTCAAGCAGCCTGCAAGTTGTGTAGAGTTGTTATCCATGCTGAGGAAGGCTTTGGTGATATAGCTGCTTTTGAGTTGTTCCTGCTCCTGGAACAACACAAACCTCTACTCTTAAAAGTGACCCCAATAAACTCATTAAATTGCTAAGTTGGACTTTGGCAATGTCATTACTTTGATATGTCATTGAGTCTCTAACTGATGTATGGGTGCATGTGTGTACAGAGAAAACCTGTGTACTGTATGGATGTAATACCTGTCAATAAAGCTGATTCTCCTGTAGCTGAGGCAGGAAATAGAAGGTGGGACATTCTAGTCTTGAGGCAGGCTGGGGAGGAGCTGACCCACAGAGAGAAGAGGATGGTTGCTTGCAGGTTGTTATTCAGGAGTTTGGGGCCAGGAGGAAAACTTGGTTTTCACAGATGACACTCAACGTATAAGGCATGAAGTCCAAACCTTTTCATTTTCTTTCTTTCTTTCTTTCTTTCTTTCTTTCTTTCTTTCTTTCTTTCTTTCTTTCTTTCTTTCTTTC